TGTAACTGACAATTTGCAATGAAAAGATGATTAAGTAACCTCGAGTCCGAATATAACCACACATTACCAGAATTCCTAGTTGTATTTGCACTCTTAGTGATGTCAGTCAGTCTTGTTTGTATAAGATTATATATAGAATGTGTTTGCAGCACTAAATATACCAGAATAAATTCCTTGTATGTGAAATATACTTGGTGAATAAAGGTGATTCTAATTCTGAGAGCAAAAATTATTCCCCCAATTAACAACACCTCCTAAAATCAGAATAGCTACCAATCCTACTGGGAGAGGGTGGATGTACTCCGTTGTTTGGTTGCAGTTTGTTATGACACCAAGTGTCCAGAGGTATAGGGGTGTAACATTTAGGATAGTTTTTGGATGCAGGTGGGTTCTGATGAGGGACTTAGGAAGCGTGATAAGTGTTGGTGCAAAAGTGATTATTTTAAGGTGATTAAGTGACTGGTACGTAGTAAGATACAATAACACAGGGGTAGGGAACTAGAGCGGTGCCAAAGGAAAGAAAATAACAAACAAAATGGAGCTGGCTAAGAAAGTGAGGGAAAACTGACCTAACTACAAAACAAAATCCAAAACACACGGTCTTCGGCATGTTAAAATGCCCTAGCTAACCTTCACTGACTACCAAAAACCATACAAGACAAATGGCACTCACCCGTACTAACTAGTGTAACTAATACAAAAATCAACTAAGTGTGTAGAATGTACCCAACAACCTAAACTATCCTCTACACAAAAGTTCATACAAATACACAAGTGAACTACGAATACAAGCGAGACTAGATACAAGTAACAGGGTACAAAAGAACACACAGGTTGAACATACAACGCGTTAGGGCAAGGTAATGGCAAAATAAATGATGAACACAAACCTAACACAAAGCTATACAAAAACACACACGAACAAAGCAAAGCAGAAGCAAAAACCAAAAGCGAAATGAAACCAAAGCCGAGCAGGACTGAAGTCAAACGAAAGGCCCCTTCCTTCTGAAAACCACCAAGTTATATAGTGAATAAGCTGCACTCTGATTGGCCGAGAAGCTGATTAATGATGACGTCATACGGAAACAATGGTGTAATAATGGACCAATGGGGGAGGGAGAACAGTCAAGGTCAGGAAGTGTGGAACGTTGCAACAACAACACACATGGAACGCACACTGGGGTGTAACACAGTTATTGTAGCTAACAGTGGAGTAACCAGTTATTGAGTCCAACAGGGAAATTAGTAGTTCAATGTTTTTTTCACAAATATAAATGTCAGAATTATTGGATCCCCTGGATTTTGTTTTAATGTAACAATCTGCAATTTAAATGCTGCTTATTTAAATACAACTCAGTCCTAAGGAATGTTATTTTAAACTTCCTGGTTCACAAGAGTATAAAGAAGAGGTAACACTCAATTGAAAACCTTACGTCATTCATCACCATGGGGAAAGGCAAAGAACTGAGAAATCAAAAATAACAAATCATATAATGAATAGAGTGCAGTTCATATAAAATTAAATATACCACTTAGCATAATTAGGGCAATAATCCAGAAGTTCAAAAACCCTAGGACAGTGGTTAACCTACCAGGAAAAGGACACGAGTGCATTGTGTCCCCACACCCAGTGAAGAAAATGGGGAAGAAGGCAAAAAAGAATCCAAGGGTCACAGATGAAATTTGTAGCTTTTGGGGTCACCAAGACTCAAAATCAACATTTAGGAGGTTCATCCATACCAACAAGCTATTGGAAGGGTTGCCAAAAGAAATCCCTTACTGACAACAAGAAAGAAATTGAAGCAGCTGGAGTTTTCCCAATACCATTGGGATTGGAACCCAAAATTGAACTATTTGGTCACTCATACCTTTAGTACATTTAGTGTCAGAGAGGTATGTGCACAAAGAAAAGAGCCTCATACCCATCGTGAAATGTGGCAGTGGATCATTGAAGTTCTGAGGCTGATTTGCTGCCACTGACCCAGGGGCCCTTGTTAAGATCAGTGGCATCATGAACTCGACTAAGTACCTCGATATTCTTGCCAAAAACCTGGTTGCCTCTACCAGAAAGCTGTGCCTTATTTGCAGGTGAACCTTCCAGCATGTCAGTGACCCCAAACATACCTCAAAATCAACAGGGAAATGGTTGACTAAAAACCAAATCTACATTTTAGAATGGCCATTTCAGTCTCTGCACTTAAATCTGGTTAAAAACCTATGTTCTGAATTAAAGGGGGCAGTCCGTGAACATAGACTAAGGATCTGGAAAATGTCCACACAGAGGAGTGGTCCATCGCCCTTCCCAATGTGTTTTCCAGCTTTATTAAACATTATAGGAAAAGGCATTGTAATGTTATCCAGGCTGTGGAGGTTGCAACAAGTACTAGAAATAGGGGATCCAATAAATTTGACACCTTTGTTTTGAGTATTAGTATTATTCATTTTAAAACATTTGTTTTGAAATAATTGTAATAAAATAAAAGCAAGTAGTTTTACTATTTCTGAATACATAAAATATAGCTCATTTGTGCTGTTTATTTATGCGGTTATTTTATATAGCTTTTTTGTTAATCTTTATCAAGGGTGCCAATAATTATTGAGACCACTGTGTTTTACATACGAGGAATTGGATGTTGAATTACTTTCTTTAATAAATAAGTCTCAGACTTTTAGATTTTTTATCAATTTTATCAAGAATCAGTTTTATCTAGTATTAGATTTTGGTTAAAGATCTGATAACACCTTGAAAATTATGCAATAATTCAGAGCATCAGAAAAGGGGCAAATACGTTTTCATGACACTAGATTTAATGTAGTTTTGACTGTGACAGAAGTCCTATTTACGGTATTTCAAGTAACTCCTAGTTCTGCCATATTAACAAAATGTTTAATAAATCTAAAGACATAAGTGTCATTTACCAGAACCATTAGTCATGCTTCTTGAATGTAAATTAAATCACTGTAGGTAATCATTAAAAAATCTAAAATCCCTCTAAAATATGTTAACAGAAAGTTAATAATCTATTTGATGAGTCTGTAAGAGGCTTTTTTGATCAGCAGCCTTTGTCTTTGTTTTCATAACCAGTATCCACATTCCTTTGAATGGAGATGCTGAAACAATGTACTTCTAAAAGAAAACGTGCTTGCCAGCACTTAGAAGAGAGTTTAAATTTCATGCTCACTTGTTTAAATGGAAAGTCTTCTAAAAAGTCATCTGTGGTCAGTAGTGCTAGGACTCATTTCTAAAGTAATTTAAAGACCAGTCCTTTCTAAGTAATCTTGTTGAAAGTTCAAGTAAACCTTTTCTGTTTGTTAGTTTTAATGTCTGCTCTCATCTCTACCAAGAAACCAGAAATGGTTTTTAAATCTGTACCAAATGCTGGCCAATAGGGTAAACCCATGGAAATTTAAGTAGAGGTATTCAGTTTTAAAAAAAGCCACATTTTGGCTGTAATTAATCTGCCACTGTTTTCCATAGGAAAAATGTTTGTTTTTATTCTGCTGTTTTTACTGCAATAAATTCTATGTTAAGATTTTATTACTGGTGTTAATGGTTTTCTGAAAATGTTTATTTTTGATCATTGCACTATACCATCTTGTTTCTCAAATTGCTTGGCTTCTTGACACTAGATGGTGAAATCAATTTCACAGGCCTGGGTGACAGAAATAAATTTAATAATAATCCCAAACCTCTTACATCTGTGTTTAGACTACCCTGTGAGGAAATAATTGCTGTATGTTTTGTTGAATTTTCCTTTTTGGCAATTTGTCTCTGGCTCAGCAAAGTTTCATTTAGACTAGTACTTGTTTTTAGTGTGTTGTTTTTATTTAGTTGGAGTCAGTTTTGTAATAAAATAAATACCTCAAAATTTTAGAGAACTGTCTGTCAAACCATGACATACCTGAGGTTTTAATCCCTACTCTTATAGGTTATGACATTGACTCTCTTGTCAGTTTCTTTTTGCACCTGTCTTTTATGCAGTCACAAAGTTTAAGCCAGCTGGATATATTAATTTTAAATTAGTCTATAAACACAAAAAAGGATAATCCTATCAGTATCAAGGCTGTTTTTAATTGAACCTGCACAGGTGCTCCCTTGGGTACTGATTATGTGACTTCATGTACTGCACTGAGAAATGGTTCTCATTCACAGTCCTATTGCTGCTTTCGGACAAAACCTAATCAAACAGACAAGCAAAACAATGAAATCCTAAAGAAATTGTCAACAATATTTATTTATGATTTTTACTCATCAGTAAGCTCACAGCCTAATGCAGCATGGTTTTGTTACTATATGTACACATTAAATCTTTGCAGTTTAATGTGCAATGACTGAACCAGAAATATATTATTGTGGTGTACTGCTGAGAGAACACAGAGAACATTAAGTTGGCTATTTCAGAAATCAATATGATTGTGTCTAAAAATATTTGAAATGTGAAATCCCCATTTTCAGAATTTACCAATAAATTTCACCAAAAAAATGGTAAAATCAAGAAAAAAGAGTTCTCTAACACAGTCAATCTCTAAGTAATCACAGAATTGGAGTATTTATTCCCCAATATAGTGGTGAGAAAATTCAAACACAAACATTAAGTGCTTCTCAGAAATGTGTTGGCAGACTATTCATTTTTGTGTTGATGTTCATGATTTTATTTGTTCTTATGTTGTTTATATGGTGATGATTTTCATAGTCCTTAAAAGCCATTTCATACAAATCCTTTGGGGTTTGTGGAAGATAAGTTTTGCTCTGAACTTTTTATTTATTTCTGAGAAAATAGAGCATGAAAAATCATAACCAGCTACTGTAAGCAAGAGGAAAAAAGCCTCATCTACATGAGTTTATTATGAACAACAAGCCTCAATAAATCAAGGACCTAAACTTAAACATGCCATAGAGCATCTGTGATCCTGGCCCCAGTGCCTGTCTGGTTCACAGCATCCTTGTGTTTTAAAAAAAATATTGAAAGTGGATCCATTTCTGGCTGTTTTTTTTCCAGGCTTTAAAACCTGATGAAGTTACAAAAGCTGCCCTGCAAAGGAATCTCATCTTTGAAAAGGTCTGCAAAAATGTAAGTATGTAATTAAATTGATTTTAGGCATTTTGATGCTGACAGTGTTCTGAAGCTCTTATAGAGGACAGGACCCATTTCGTCCACCACTGAAATTCAGCTTTAACCCAAGAGTCAGGGGACAGCCATTATGCTCCAGCTGCGCCAGTACACCACAGCTCATGGAGAGAAGTGAGAATCCCTTTGCCACTTGTAGGTATGCCACATTGCATAAACTCAAAGTAGAAATCAGCCAGGACTTGCAGCATTGACAATTCTATTGTTTCTGACCAGTGTTATGGCATCTTGTTAGGCCAGAACAATTCTATCTTAACTCTCTACAATGTTATATAATCAATGAACTGCTTATCCATGAATATGAATAATGTTAACTTAAGTGCAAAGCATCTCGTTGTATAATTATATATACTCTATGTATAGTAGTTCACTTAAACTGAAAACAGCAGTTAATTTTTTAAAAAATTGAGAATTCTGTCTTTGAAAACACATTTATAAATCTATTACTTTTAAGGAACACACTGTAGATTCAGTTGTTTGTTTTCAGTTGTTTGCTATTTGATATATTATTGTTTATTTTTAAATTGGTGATTTTAAGAAAAGGAGTGTTTTTGGTAAAAGTAAATACAGGACATGGGTAATTTGTTTCCAAGTTCTGAACAAGAAAACATCACATGTGGCATTCAAGGCATTTAATTTCAGTATTTTAGTTGATTGTTGGACTTTACCGAGCAGTTTTATATTATCTGTTTAGTATATTCATTTTGAACATTAATGATAGCTGTACTAGGAACTCTTACAAAAGACAGTTGTGTATTATTAAATTAGTGACAGAGCACAAAACTTGGGTGCAAGGTTAAAGTGAATTATTATACACAATACCAGGGAAGTTCTGGGCCAAACATTTTTCCATGAACAGTACTTTCTTTTAACTTCCCACTCTAGCAGACTTATAGATATCACATCACAGATAGATGGCAACGAAATGTCTGAAGATGCCAAGCACTGGCAATGTATTTAAAACAGTTAAGCTTAACATTTTTGATGAGAATAGACCAATAGTTAGTTCCTGATGGCTTTCCGGAATTATGAAACCTTAGATTGTGGTGGAAAAGTTTGTAGCCTGTGAAGACAATGTACATCTTTGTTTTGAACAGAGTAGCAGTTGCTAGTGGAGTCGTTTGCCCTCTGAAACGATCGAAACCAAAAACAGCATGTAAGGTGGTTAAAGTGAGGCTGGCATACATCGCGTTATTTTCAATGGTGACTTCCAGTAAAGGAAGAAGTACACAGGTTTGATTTTCTCAGAAATATGTAGCCTCTAATTAGGAAGTCTGAAGTGGTTATGTGAAAGTTTACATACTTTCAAAAATAGAGTTGCTTTTAAATGTTGGCACAATTGTATTTGTCGTATAAGAAGAAATATCAAATGTTTTCTGAACTGTCTGAATCTGCCCTGTCCATTCCTTAAAGTATTCCATTGAGTGTTGTAGCCAAGACCTAAAAGGGGGCTCTATACAGTAACATTGGTATACGCTTTCCTTTCACTGAATTTAAAGAATTTTAAGGGTGTGCATTTAAAACAGAAAATAAAATTTGCTTTTACATATGTCTTTGACAAGGTACCTAGCCATAGCAAACAGGTTATTATATCAATATCCTATCCATCCATAAGTTATTTGAGTGCTTTTTATACTTTATTGCTGTAGTAGCTTGGAGTTTTCTATTAGTCTGGAGCCTCTGCACAGCCTTTATTCGTTTGTAAACTTTCTTGCTTCGGCCCAAGTGTAATTTAACATGGGGATATTTTTTAAGTATTTTTATTTATTTGTATTATTTACCTACTGGTTTTGAATAGGATTTTACATCTCAGCACATGATACCAGCTCCAGTACACACACAGGGATAATGAGGCAGCACAAACACTCTGACCTTTATACCCATTTACAAGTTATGCAGTAATTTGCAGAAGAGTTTCTGCAGTTGGAGGAGTAGCACATCCCTGTAAGCCTGCAGGCACCCAGGAAGTTGCAAGAGTCTATTTTTTACAGGGAGCCAAGAGAGTCTTTGGTATCTAACTCAGCCTCTCCCCTGGTGCTGGCTCTGAGCACTAAGCCACCACTGGAGAGAATAATAATAATTGCTTACACTTATATAGCGGTAATGGGGGACTCCCCTCCACCACCACCAATGTGCAGCATCCACCTGGATGATGCGACGGCAGCCGTAGTGCGCCAGAACGCCCACCACACATCAGCTATTAGTGGGGAGGAGAGAAGAGTACTGAAAATTCAATGCAAAACAGAAAAGAATGCTGGAATTTACTTTAGTTCCCTGCTTTTATTTTTTCAAACCCCTTATACACTTCACAGTTTTGGACTTTGCACATGGGCCCTTGAGTTTTTCTTGACCACGTGTTGTTTGGGCCTCCTAACCTGTAGTTCCATCCTCCTTGTGTTCTTTTAAGCACTAATCTTTGTAATCATCATAATTATAGATAAGGTCATCAGTAAAGATCAGTAAAGAAACTGTAAAATTAACTTAGAACAGTAAAGGTTACTTATACAATCAGAAATCTGGTTATTTGGTGCAAATCTATGAAGTGATATAATTAAAGAACATTAAAAATGGACATGCATACTATATCAAAAGGCATTTCATTGAGTGCTATATCAAGATTATAACTACTTAATTTGCAAACTCTGTAATTTATCCTTTTTATTTTTGAAAATTGCTGACCAGCATTTAAGATCAAAAACATGCATAACAAAAGACAGATTGTTGCTTATGAGATGGGTCCTCTGCACAACAATGAAAGTGAGATGTGGACATCCCATTTTATTATTTATGACTTGCAGTTTTACTGCAGACTGCTGATTTACACAGAACGAACGTAAAAAACTGATTAACATGTCTGACAGTGTACTTTTATTAATTGACAAATGTATAGATTAAAAAAAACTTTGATTCACACTTCGTTGTGAATCACACGTTGATCTTGAGTGAGGGGGTCTTTGATGTGGAGAAACTGCTCATAGAATGGTCAGTGACACTTGTCAGTTTCAGTGCTGCCTTGTCTGCAAGCTGGAATCTGCAGTTTAGAAAGGATAAGCCTTTCCTCTGGATAACATATTATTTTAATCCAAAGACAGTTGTTTCAGTTCTTTCATCATACAGTGTTTGATGAATCCAGGTATGTATTCATGACGTATGATAAGACAGTATTCAGGACAACATGATGAGTGATGTGCACAAGGGTAATAAGTGTGCAGGGGAAAGGGTTGAATTTATTTTAAGAGGCCTTAATGTGGGGTTGTGAAAAATGTAAGGCACCATTGAGATCCTGAGAAAACCTGTAGTTCACTCACTTAGTTGGCAGATATCATTTGCAAAGGAAAGCAGTCTTCAAGATTCCTGAGGGAGTTTCTCACAGTAGATTATGTGACTTTGTGAATAATATCCAGTTGAACACAAAATATGTGTACATTGCTAGTACAGCATTCTCCCCCCCACACACAAAAAAGATAGTGGTTTTACAAACTCTTTAGAAAATTATAGAAACTTTAAGTCAAGTTGCTTGTGAATGCTCTTGTACTACAAAACATTAAAACCTACCCACTACAAAGATGATTGATCAATTTAAAGAAATGTTATAGAGAGTTTTGGGTGTAAATCTATGTATATGTTACGGGTTTACTCACTTATTATCCTCGGTTTTAGTGTGATTGTGTTTTGTGCAAATAATGGAATTGAGAATTTTTGTTGACTGTATTCTATCGTGAGCCTAGATGTGATTGTAGTGTGTGCCGACACAGTACAAAGTGCAAAGCACATTATGACAGGAATTGTCAAAAACATCCTGGGCTGTGTGGGTAGTGACAACAAGCTTTGTCACTTTGAAACTCTTGAGGCTAACCAGGATCCTGAGAGGACTGCTATGTAGTGCGTGCTATTTAATTTGAAATGGTGATCAAATTGGCTAAATGAATGGTACTTTAAGAAAGCATTTTTGTATATGAAGACAGCAGTGTAACTAGAAAAAAATAGGATTGTATTTCGGTTGTTTTTTTCACCCTAAACTGTATCATTTAATGTTAATCTGTAAAGTGATTTTAATGGTCTGCTGGACAAATTTTTTCATGCCAGACTGAAGTACTATTTTTGGCTTTTAATTTTTCAGCCTTTTCTATGGTAATTTCAGGCCTTAAGCCAGAAAATGAATTCTTGTAATAGTTTTCCCCTTGCAGGTTAGGAAATGGACAGTTAGAGAGATGAAAGATTTATGTTTATCTTTATTTAAAACTTTGCACACGTGTTTGTTTTTTAAAACGTGTCATTAACTAACTTTTCCATCTGGAAGATTTAAATGCCCAAACACCTGTGATTACATTTAATTTAAAAATATTTTTCAGTATGTTTTCCCTGGAGTTTATAAGCCCTGGTTGTTCCAGTTGTAAAGTTGAACTCTTTCATTGCTCAGCTGGGATGCTTTTATTTTACCTGTCACGAAATTGCATACTTTTGTCCCCTACTGATTATGAGTACTCAAATGGATAGTGCTTTACACTCATTACAAACATTTTCTAATATATATATATATTTATACTATGCTAAAAAATAAAATAAAAGTGGGCTGTGGAGGCTTCTTCAGATGTTTGCAGGAATAAATAACAGGTGTATTGTTTTATGAAACATTTTTGTTATTCATTTTTACTTCTTACATCTCTTGAAGTTAAAGATTGGTTACACCAACCACTCAATGTTGGTTAAATCTCTCCTTCAAAATGTTGAAACGGGTATCTCTTAAAGCAAACACATACCTATTAAATGTGATAATTGCTAAATGAGATCTTTTTTTTTCCGATAAAGCTTTCTTTTCCGTGATATTCAGAACCAGAACAACAATAACTGTTATGGCAACCTGAATTGCAGACTCTGTCTGTCTTTTACACATTTTCTCTGCTTATTGCCTAACAAACAGCATGATATATAGTCCTTTCTACTTGGTGATTGAAGATGTAATGGCGCTGTTCATCACTGTTGATGAGTGTCAAGAGTATCATCCCTCTATCAGGACTAAACTTCGCTTTTGCTCCCTAAGCCTGGCCTATCTAAATTTAATTGATGGTTGTAGATTTTCTTCACTTTTTTTCCCCAATCTGTTGTAAATTCATTATTGCATTATTATAATGATTGTTAGACTTTGTACATAGCATTATTTATTTTCAGTTTTTGAGCTGTTTGTCTGTCAACCTTAGTCACCTTGAATGTCAGAATGTAGGAGACTTTAGTTGTCATGCATGATGAATGAGTTAAAGCTTGAAGATCAAAAAATAGTTTTCAGTGTTTTAGCCATGTTTTCTTTATTCTCTCAATTTGGAATTTCCAGTCATTAATCTCAACGACTGCTGCTAACCTTGCATCAGCTGGCGATTTGAAACAAGGACCGTGCACACTTTATTCCTCCACACCTGTTATGAAGCCAGTCTCTATTTTAAATAGCGATGCATTTACAGGAAAGTTTGCATCAAATTCTGGAGCAGTACAGGAGCAATTTCTTACTGGCAGCACTGCAGACTTCCAAGCCAACTCAAGCCCACCCAGCCCTGGCAGCATCTAGGCAGTTTTTGGTTCTTGCTTGGGAATCCTCTTCCCAGTCGGTTAATGACGTAGCCCAGGCACAGACTGGTGATGTCTGGACTACAGGGCTCAGCAAACGCTCTTGAGCAAGTGCTTTTAATAGTCAAGACACTTGGGAGCCCATAACTTGTAAAAAATAATTCATGTCTGAAAAAATGATTTTGCAGTGATGTAGCAATTGCCTCTTTGAACAAATATTCATTGCTTTTCAGTGTTAGTGTTACTCATAGTTGCTTGGCAAAGCACTTGGAAAAAAAGTCCTTTTACAGAAAGCCACATGCCTCTTTGCGTATGTAATGGCTGGGTTTACAACTAAGTGTAGGTTTCGCTCTCTTTTAACATGTACTGTGGTGGCTTTTTGTTAAAGTTTCTTCAGAATACTGGCACAACAGTTAAAAAATATTTCCCACTTTTAATGTAGTGAAAGATTGCCAAATTAAATAACCTCACTTAAATTTGATGGGTGATCAAAAAATAATTTTTGTTGGTCCATATTTGTTTCACTGTTTCATTTGTAATCGAATCATTTCAAGTTGACATAATATGGTCATTTTTTATATATATAATGAAATTTTATGAAAATATATTTGCAGTATAGACACACTTAGGAACAATAAGACACCATTAATCAAAATGTGCACAAAAGTACTGTATAATAAAAAAGTGCCAACAGTGTGTACCTACCTTCTTTGTTTAAGCCACAATTTTATATCTATTATCAGTTATGTGCTGTTTAAGTTTCTGTTCTTAAAGGTGTGTATTGGAGAATTACCCCCAATAAGCAGTAAATACTGTTTACTGTCAAATATGTAGGTGAAATTAGCACATGATATTGTCAGTGATACATTTTAATCTTAATCATTTTAATTTGTAGTAACTTGAAGCATAAATCTTGTGACCCTTTTCACTGTTACTGCATATGTAATTTACTTTTTTGTTCTTGAATAGTTAATAAGATAGCTGCAAGCAATTTTCAAATAATGCTAGTATTCTGTAATACTGTCATGAATGGTATTTAGTCAACATTAAGCTCGACACAACAGCTATTGTAAAAAACTCACTTTCAGTCTGTAGAGTAAAACAAGTAGGCTGTCTTTGTTTTGCCCTTGTCCTGACTTCACTTCTGTGCCCTTCAGGAAATTCCTGAATTAAGTAGAGCCTTAACCAATAGGATGAGTAGACTCCATCATGAGATCGGCTTGCATACGTGGCATGCCTTTAAAGGGGGAGGGGAATGGGGAGAAAATCAAGGTTCCTGCACACTTATGTGTGTTTTTTTTTTCATTATTGCAAGTCGGGACTGAAAAATGTAAAATGATTGCATACAATCGTCTCAGCCAATCTGTTTAAAAAATACAATTAAACATTTATATATTTTAACATGTCTTGTCTTGTATTATAGCCAAACTCTACAACAGCAGAGAGAGCAACTGCACGAATTGCATCACATCCACTGATCAGCAAAAAAATTATAGACATTAAAGGTAATAGATCAAGTCTGCAAAACATTACTGATGCATTATTGTTAATTCTCTCTATTAAAAAATAATTATAACATTTTTATTGAGGTGTCAATTTTTGCTTTGTGTTTTTGTTTAATCTTTTATTTCTTTTTGGATTTATTTTATTTGTGTAAGGATTTTTTATTCTTTATCTGGATTGTTTATTGTATTAAAGTATATTTGAGTTATACAAACTCGCCGCTTAAAGTAGTATCAGATACTGTATCTCATAAACCTGTAAGTAGAGCACACTTGACAGGTAATTTTCCAAGGCTTGGATGTTTTAGATAACTTTTATTGAGAAGCTATGAAAAATAAGTACAATTTCTAAGTAAACTGATGAGAACTGTACATAATCCAAACAATCTTGGAAAATAGGACTAGGATGCTTTTGCAGTTCTATAGCTTTAATGTTGACAACTGTGGCAAGAGAAATGTCTTGTACTTTGACCATGTAACTCAAACATTAATTATGTCTGTAATTAAGAATTGTTATTGCTAATCACTTCATTCTTTTTCACCTTTATTCCAAAGCTGCAATTAAGGCATTCAAGGAAGAGAGGATTCAAAAATCTTCTGAAAGCAAGAAGGCTCCAGAAAAACCAAATTCTGGAAAAAACACCAAGAAGCCAATTAATAAAACTAGTGATCATAGCACAACTGAAGAAGAAGACAGTACAGCTGAATTGGCTGAAATGAACAATGAGGAAATAAAGAAAGAAAAAGAAGTTCAAAAGTCAGAAAATGATCAAGATAAGTTTAAACCCGAGAGAACTTCAGAGCCTCTTGTACAGCAAACGATTCCCACAAAATCCCTTACACCAGATGTCCTACAGACCACTTCTGCTGTTAAAAAAGGACAACAGACTTCAACCTCGAAAGAGGCCATTTCTCCAGCTAATACAGAGGGCAAAATAAGAATACAGGGATCTCAGAGTGTGAGTGAAGAGAGTGAGCTAGATGATTCAGATGCCGAAGAGAAGGAATACTTTGATGACAGCACGGAGGAACGATTTTACAAGCAGTCATCCCACTCTGAAGACAGTGGAAGTGAAGATGGGGATGGCTTTTTCATTGGTAAAGTCAACAAAGTGAAAAAAAAGAGCCACCACCTTGGCCCAAGGCAGGAAAAAAAGAATCTTGATGTCAAGAAAGCTACCGAGGATGTTTTGAAAAAAGCCAGTCCTGCAACACACATGTCTGTAGATGAGAAGAAAGGTCTGCAGAATTCAAAGCAGATGAAACTGAAGTCTGTGTTTTGTAGCACCTTATCAGGATCAAAAGCATCTAGACCACAGCACGGGAAGAGGTATGAACCGTAATGAAGTTATTTGAGTGTGAAGTTAAGACCAAAAAAGTCCAATAACAAGCAAATGCATCATGGATATATACACGATAAAATCTTTGAAAGAGAAGTAATGTTCCAAATTTATCTACATTTGTTTGCAATGTTGTGGACAGGATTCCTAAATATATATTTGTTTAGTATTTTCTGTTTAGTTTTCATCTTCATTAGTACTTAACAGAAATACAGTTTCTTTTTAAAATTCTGTGTTAATAGTCACCACAAACAGCTATTGTAAGTTGCTAAAACATCAAAATTGTTCATGTTTTCTCTCTATACCACTAGCAGCTATATTTTGGCTATTGTTAAGGTGTTTGTATTTTTCTTATGTAGCAATATGTAATAAGAGTAATAAATGCTCAGTAAGTAAACAATTCAATGATTTGTAAAGTTAGAGTAATTTCTAAAGTTATAGACTTAATTCAGCAACACTTTTTTATTCATTTTGTTTTTAACTCATGATGGAAAGTTATTATATAAAATCTGAGCACCAGACCTTAATAGCGACACCTGTCAAAACATAAAACTGCCTGGGGTCCTGACTAGAATTAAATAAACAGTTAATGAATATATATACCATTTTATATAATTTTGCAGTTCATTCATGTGTTTTATTTTGACTGTTTAATGTAATGTGATTTGATATGTTATGCTTGCAAGCTAAAAAGGCTCACCGTTTAAGAAAATGACTTCTGTTTTCCAGAAACCCACATGAAAATTCTCAAGCATACAAGAGTACAGGTATGATTTAATTGACTTTGTTTTGTAAAACATTGTGAATTATCTGCAATCTCCTAATTGCGAAAAAAAAATAGGTGTAGAAAGTAGTGACCTCCATTCTACTTTGCCACCTTTTGTTGTTTTACAACCAGGAGGCTCAATACACTTACAGTACATATTTTTTTCCCTTTTGAGCTCCTCTGCAATATCAATGTTTAAAAGTTTGGAGCTAAAAAATAAGTTGGTTAAAAACCCTAAAAATATTCATTGGAAAAGTATTCACTCCCTTAGGATTAACCCTCCTTAATAAGCTATGCCTCAACCACTAACCTTCAGAATTTGCACTTTGTTTATTGGAATCAACCTGTGTGTAGTTGATACTCAGATTGAACACACCTTTGTAAGGTTAAACACATCTGTCTGTGTGATTTTCCACTATTGAGCATTGCATAGAAAGGACTATGAAGACAGGAACAACTAACGAACAGAGTTATGGACAGACAGAAGTCAGTTAAGGGATATAAAAAGACTTCAAAGACAATGAGTATCCCACAGAACACTGTTAAATCAGTTATCAGAAAGTGGAGGATACATAGAACTACTCAGAATCTTCAACAACCAAGTCATCCTGCAAAACGCAGCAGCTGGGCAAGAAGGACATTAGTCAAACAAGCAGTCAAGAGGCAGAAAACAACCTTCAAAGACCTAAAATTGAGATGGGAGAAACCGAAAATAAGTCAGCAGTACTTCTGCTCGGGGCAGCATGGTAGAGTGGCAAGGAGGAAGTCATATTTGAAAAAAGCTCACAGAAGTCCTATCTTGAATATACAAAAAGGCATGTAGAAGTGTCTGAAATGATGTAAAAATGCCTTCTGATGACTCAAAAAGTTAGTTATTTAGCTAAGCAGTATGTTTGGTGAAAAAGGAGCACTGCTTACCACTCACAAAACATCATCCCCAATTAATGCATGTCAGTGGCATAATGTTGTGGGGTTGCTTTTCATCAGCAGGGACTGGTATGCTTGTCAATATAGAGGGCAGAATGGATGGAGCTAAGTGTAGGCAGACCCTGGAGCAGTCTGCAAAATATCTGAAACTGGGATGGAGATTCAGATTTCAACATGTCAATGAGCCCAAACACAAAGTCAAAGCAACCCTTGAGTGGCTTGAGTGACGGTGATCCAGCAAAGGCTAGACTCTTTTCTAATCCTATAGAAATCCCATAGAAAATCTGTGCCAGGAACAGGTGGAGCAATTTTGAAAGGAAGAGTGGCCGAAAATTAAACTCCCAAAATGTGGGTCAGGTCCAAGGTGGGTCAGTACTTTCTACACCCACTGTACATAGCAACTTCAACAATTTGTTTAAACCAAGTACAGAAGTAATTATTTGGATAAACAAGAAAGTACACTTAGCCATCACCCCTTTTTTTGCTGGTGAGTTCCCTTTTCAGAAATCACAAATCAGGAGGTACAGTGCAATTGTAATTTCAAATTGAGCTAAAGTAAGTAACTGTTATAAGTCACGCTACTGATGTTATAATATTAAAATAGATCCACTCTCTTGTTGTTAGAACAGATTTACTCAATGAGTGACTTGCTTGTACAGATCGCTAGATACATTAGGACCTCAGATTGATAACTATTCAAGGTTACCAATTCCTTCTCAAGTCAGAAGTTGTCACTTTTGCCTTTGGATCATAATACGTAGCATTAGGAAATACTGTGCTGTTGATGGCTAACCTTAAGCTCAGAAGTCAAACTTGCGTCCTGGCTGGGGTTTTAGCCCTAGTGTCCCAGTCCAAAAACATATGATCTGGCCAGCAAAAAAGTTTCAATTTTATATTTGCTAAAGTGCATTTCCTAACAGCTGCCAGCCTTCAGGTCTCTCTAAAAAAAACTGAGTCTCAGTCCAAATAATGTGTTTTATAAAACCACAAAAAGCAGCAGCACTGATTCAGAGATAACAAAAGCTACCACAAAATGCCTAGGCACAAAACGGAGACCACACCAACAGGTATATTCCTATTATGCACTCTTTGATACAGATGGTCATTTTATTGTGGGCTCTGCAACAAAACAAACAATTACTGCATAGGTAGTCTGAGATAAATGTTGTTGTCTTGACACTCCCTATATGCATAAAGGTCTTGTGAAAATCATGGATACGTTAGAACAATCTAGCCTGCATCTCAGTCCAAAACTTCAAGATGTAATCAAGACAACTGAAACGAATAGGATTTTTATCCTTTTATCAAGTGTATACTTTAAGTAGGATAAAAAGTAATAAATTCTTAATAATTTTAAAAGGAAAAATAAAAGCCTACTGCTTTGAATTTGATGGTTATTATTGGTCAGTATAAGACTTTTAAGTTTAATGCATTTTGGTAGGTAATATCACCAATAACCAACAGAGCTCTGTGTGTGAGTGAGGTTTAAACCCCAAATAGAGCTAAAAAATAAAATAACTCTGGTCTAGATAAGAGAATAACTGGACGAGCATTCCCTTAATGAAAAGCAAGATAAAGATTCTCTATTGAATAATTAAGATAATACACAATATATCAATGTGGAATATAACTGAATCTAATGTCTGCTGATTAATACAAAGAAAGTAAAAACACAGTGTTGTCATATAAAGACTGACACAGCTGAGATTATGCTTGTACACTCCCATCGTCAACCTCTCAAAATTGCTGATTTCAGTGTTATTGTTGACAGTGCTAAAATCAAACCTTTAATGGACGCTAGGAAACCTTGGTGTTACTTTTGACTCTGTTATTACTTGAATTGCATGTTAGAAACACAAGACCATCTTTCTTCAACCTACATCACTCTGATAATAATATTCTTTATTTTATATAGCACCTTCATGGTACATCATCTCAAGGTGCTGTACAATAAAACAAATAAGACCAGTATGTACAGATTAAAACAGTTAAAAGCTAGAGTGTAAAAGTAAGTTTTAAGACAGAATATGAAAGTGCTGCCAGCAATGCGAGAACTAATAAACTTGTGGGAGTTGGAGGATCAGTTCACAGGAAAAACAGAATTGAGAAGTGAAAGAAGGCCAGAGTTCCAAGAGCACAAATGACATGTAGGTATACAGGGCGTTTAACAGTTGACTGAGGTAGGAGCCAAACCATCCAAGCCCTTCAAGATGAGCAACAGTATTTTGAACCTTATTCTGAAATCTACAGGGAGTCAGGTTAACTAATTTACATATTTGTGGTGTTGATCAGGAAAACCAATCAACATTACTTGGTCTTGTCAGAGTTCACATAAAGTTTCACTGCATCCATTTTTTTTACTTTGCTTGGTTAAGACCCTTTGTGATATCTGATACTGAAATATTTATATATGTCTATATTTCATTAAGATTTAAGATTTGACTCCTCTGCTGTAACTGTAACTTCCTGGGTATTTTCAAAGGTGCTACATTTATTTATGTCCAGAATTTCATGTCTCAAAAAGCAAAAAGTACTCTGTGTCAAATAATAATTCCTTTCCCCTGTGTCCAAGTAAAATGTAGGGAAACACTTTAAGTTCCTCCTTCTTACACATAAGATGCTGAATGGGTATAGGTTCAGGCATAGCTGTCTTATTACAGATCTTAGGTAACAAGTCCAACTCATCATCTGCAATCTTCTGATTAAGGGCTGCAGGAGAACAGGCTCAACAGAATGGGAGATAGAGCCATGTCTGTTAAACTCATTGCCAAGATCCATTAATCTTTAACTGTCACCATTTCAAAAACTCCCTGACAGATTGTTTCGCTAAAGCTTTAAAATTATACAAGAGGTATATGTGTTGTAAAATGTGTTGTAACCAATAGCATTTGTTGCTGTTTTCTCTCAGTATAGAATTTCTTGGATTCACTAAAGTAGGTCTGATGTGTTGAAGTAAATTGAGTTTCTTGAAGCATTTTCAGAAGAAGGTATTATAATCATCTTTATGGGTAAAGTAACAGATTATTGAAAGGTATTTGCTTAAGAATCTTATTGGATTTTCTATTTTTATTTAATGATTTGTGTACGTATTGCAAAATTTGGTTTGTTCTCCACTTCACTTCAGTTAATTTCTTTCTCGTTACCAGCAGCCACGGTGAAAAACAAACCACAGTTTCAGAAGCATAAGGCTCACCTTTCCACTGGGAGGTTTCCCAGTCCAGCTCAGCAAACACAGCAGTCTCTCCACCCATCCTGGGAGGCCAGCAGGAGACGCAAAGAACAGCAGGCCCAGATAATGGCTTTCCAGGGGAAAAAGATTAAGTTTGACGACTGATTTTCATGAAGACTTAGTTTTGACTGCTTAAAATAAACTGTTTCCTATGACCAGTTTTCAGTACCATGCTTTTTGTTTTCTCAGTATTTATTCATGTCTGGTGTTATTTTATTTACAGCTGGGAAACAAATGCCCATTTGAATTGATCTGTACAAAGATTTAAGATAGAGTACTGCTGATTCATATACCATTTATAAATCATTCCAGTTTTTTCCTGTTCAGTTTGTAAATTGTACTACTACTGTAATTTTTTTCAGTGTGAGATTTGAATCGGTTAATCTGTTAAATAAAAAATCTCCTCAAATAATTTATTCAGTTACTTTGTTTTAATTGCTTTTTTCAGTCACAGAAGTTGCCAGCCTGATGTTAGTGAGTGTGTAGCTAATGCAGATTAAATGAGAGTTGTGAATGAATTTTTCACATTGATCCTCTTTGTTTAATAAACCAGAAATTCTACTCAAACATGTTTTCATTGTGACAGATAATCTACATATACAATGCAAATCTTGTTCATTGAGAGATTAAAATGAGTCTGAATTGCTTTTGATGTCTTTTGACATGAGACATTTATGTCCATTAGAAATGAGAAAGTCAACTGAAAGTTTAAAACAGTTTATTCAAGTATTTTTATTAGGAGATAAAGGAATGTATTGTAATACTAGTGCAACTAAGTACAAAGCTTACTATTTGTAAAGTTCATACATCAAGTGTTAAAAGCAATGCGAAAATATTAAAATATTCGATAACTTCACATGCAAATGAGAAATTATTTTAAAGCCCCATCATTTAGTGGAATTAAATTATTGGTATGTACAGCATCAGCTCTACACACAATTTACAAGAGCCAAATATTCTGCATTATAATCAGCACCAGTTTCTATTCAATAGTGAGTTTTGAAATTTTATAAGACTCCAAGTAATTTCTTGTGTGTGTTCACACTACACACTACAAAGCACCTTCTTGGAAGCAAATACTGTATTGAAATTGTTGGTGCTCTTATTGTGTTACATTTTTTTCTAATAGAACTTCTAATAGTATTTTATGTCTTTTCATACATTATGTACTGGCAGTTCATGTTTAAAAGGATTAGAATTGTGCTGAACAAAGCATTATTGCTGCTTGCAGCTTCAGATCAAAAGTAAAGTGGTCATATAGCACTATTTAAGTGGTTTTGTGCCCCACTGAATAGGAAATTAGATAAGTTATAAATAAATATTGACCATGCATGCCAAAATAAGAAAAAAAGAATAAGGCTGTCAGACTAGACAGACAGTTTAAGGCAGCTTAACTTGAAAAGACAAGAAATGCACAAATTGTGAAACGTTCTAGACATTTTTAGCTTTCATTATTTGCATAAAAAACAATTTTATGTTTGGAGATATTTGCATACAGTAATTTTGTCTCCATTTAGTAAATTCAAGATCCTTTAGTACTGTATTTTGATTGTATTTGAGCCACTTCACCTTTTTCTATCCCTGTGAAACATTTAAAGTCACATTAAGCTATTGTAAATATGCATTGATTTATACACTGAGTTTGATAGTTTGTAAGAAATATGACACTGTAGTTTACTGCATTTGCATGCAAGTAGGATTCCAGTTTGTATTCTGAATAGGTATTCCATGCCATGTGAATGATATTCCAAATAGGAGTATCACAAACATGATTTTAGATTTGGGTTACTGTTGGAATGCTAGTTGTTGTAGTATTTAAAAATGGAAAGAGGGATGTCCATGGCAATATGCAGTAATATTGTAAAATTTGTATTTCTATAGCAATGTAGTGCTATCAAGAAGTATTTTTATTTTTTTGTTTTGAATGAGAAATGGTTTTATCATTATAATAATAATAATAATAATAATAATAAACTTATTTCATATAGCACCTTTAAAGGTGGCTTCTCAAAGTGCTTGCATTCCGTATGGGAATGCAATGGCTTCTCATTGCATTCCCATACATAGTAAGTATTTATTATATCTGAATTAACCATTTTGACATTCTTGTAAACAAAGGTATTGAAAATACCAATTCCCATTTTGAAATACTGTGATATTCAGAATACTCAGCATGTAAACAAGACAATTGACATCTTATATTCCAAAATGTTTGGAATGTGGAAAGTGTTTAACAAAACAGATTTTCTGTGTAAGAAACAATTGGGTAGATTATGAAGAATAAACTATGTTTAATGCATATATAACGTCCTTACAAATACTTTAATATTGTTTTACTTTTTCTACTATTTCCTAAATGAGATTGTGTTTGCTTGCTATCCATATTTAAACTCTGAACAGATAGTAAAAATGCACTGTTCTGGAATTTAAGAGATCAGGTAGCAAAGGTTAGTTACTTGTGGATAATTTTTAAAAGTATAGTTAAATGTTCTTTAAAGAGCGCATAAGTTTCTTAAATTGTATTTGCCACACATTTAACAGCTGTGGTTTTCTTCATTTTCTTACTCTTCAGTATTCATAGCAGTCCTTGTATTACTTAATAACACTTATATCATGGCTTTGGTAAAGGCATTCTTTCAGACTTTCTTCTGACAGATTGCCTTCAGACTTTCCTATGTATTCTTTGGCAGAAAATCAGCCATTTCATTAGTACCTGAAAAGAAACAAAAAGATTAGTTATACAAATTGTACAGATTATCATTGAAGGCGTAATATCAATATCAACTTTGTCAAAGAGCACTAGGGACATTAAATATTTATTCACACAAACCCATTGTATTACCATTCTTTTCTATAAATGGTAGTACAATACAAAGTCACAAAGTATTTGTATTTCCAATTTATTTAAACCTGCATATATTTTATTCTCTACTTTATCAGTATTTAGGGTAGAAATCCCAACCAAATATGGATCTAAAAAACTGAGGATTACTGAAGGTTGTATGAATTCATTATCATCCCAGTGGACAATTAGAAATTGTCTGCTGAATTTTATGTAGGGGCATATCTAATTATCTTACTTGGTTTATACACATTAAGGACACGTACAACTTGATAACTTTAAACAATCCCAACTGATTTCAAGTTCTGTGTCTCCTGTAGCTGTCCAGGAGGATCAGAAATCACTATAAGCACTTGGGAGAATAAGATGTCAGCTTGTATTCAATGCAAGGCTGTGTCCTTCAGTCAAGTGAAATGCAAGTTCATACATCAATAGATTGCAGTGGATCCAAAATTTAAATGGCTTGACTAACTGTAATTTATTAAAAGAAAAATTGCAATCACCTTACAGTTTAAGGAACGATCTTAATATCACATTACTGCATTCTGTTCCTATATTCCAAGTATACTTTTTTAACATTCTTAAGCATTCTTTGGAAATTATATTTAAAACAATACAAATTCAACAGTGCTTCTTCACTCAGTATCGAAAAATATACCAGTATTTTTTTGTACAATATTCTTTGTAAGTCATACAGTTACATCTTTTAATGGCAAATGTAACTATTTTTCTTTTTTTTTTGTGGAGGGGCCTTCTTTGTCCTTGATTGCTCCCAGACACTAGCTTGGCAAAGCAAAATGTAATTGAATCTGGAATTTGAACTCAATTCTTGTAGCCACATTTTTGCCATTTTCTTGACATCTTGCCAAAAGGTTGTTCATTACTCCAAAAGGGAATTATTTTGAAAAAGTAAACTGTTTTATATAGGTTTATAAGCAAAGAGAGAGGATTTTGTGGGACTACTTATGTGAATATTTTTAAAGCGAGTTTTACTTTATATTAATTAAATATTTCCCCAACTCTAATATGGCAATTTAGGAATTTTCCAATGCTTCAACACATTTCACCTATTCACAAGAAAAGTGAATACTTATGAGGTCATGAATATTATAATGGCAATTGGAAACAATAATTAAAATGTCAGTTATATACAAATTCTCAGAAAAATATTGGAATTATTGTAACCTCCTTGGTAATTTATCATATTAACTTACTTTAAAGAGGATATTACTGAAAAACTCACTAAACAGTGATAATGGAAGTGAAATATGATTTATTTACTTTTGTAAGAATGTGAAAGTCAACTCTGGATGAAATAAAAATAATTAAAGGCTATGCCCATTGTGATGGAGCAAGCTGAGGCTTAATTAAAGCCTCTTCCTTCACTGCTGTAAATTGGACATGCTGCTTTGATTGACTGATTGGACTCCTGTGGAATGGAATTCCACAGGCAGGAAAGGGATCAGCTAATTGGCCCTGTGCTTAATTGGGACTTTCGTCAGGAGTAGCAGCATTCACAATAACAGCAATCAGGTGTAGAGGGTAGCGGGCTGTGTCAAAGCTCCTACAGGTCAGGAAGGAAGAGTGTTAGTTGTATTCTACATTGTAGAGTTTAAACAGGACAGGAGTGTTTAACTCCTGTGCTTTAATATCAGTAGCCAAACAGCCAGCAGTCCTAAGTAAAGTTCAGTCCCATCCAGTTTGTGAGAGCCCAATTGAGTGTAATTAGTTCTTATTTTGCAAGGAAGAGAAAAGGAGAATTTGGGAGTTCGTCAGGAATTAGTCTGTTCCGGTTCTTTCAGTGGAGTAGAGGACTGAAGAGTTGTTCTACTTGAGTAGCTCAAGATCTTTCTCTGTGAAGGACTGGTTTTTGGGACTGATCAGGATTCCACGAAAAGTGACCACCGGTACGTCTTAGGAGCCTGGAGGGGTTCTACAAGCTAACAGTGACAGATCGTCGGAACACACTATTAAAGTCAACGATATGCTGATTCAAGCTAAGGTCTGTGGCACGGGGATCAGCATTCATCACACCTATAATAATGCCTAAAAATTAACTTCAAAAAAATTGAAAATAGTGAGTTACTATATTCCATTTAAACTCCTAGTGGCATTTAATCATGGGTTAAAATTGTGACATCAAAAACCGTTTGTGAATAATTGAGGTAATATAATGTTTGAGAGGGCAAAGCGAGATTCTATTTTTGTGTCCAGCAGAGGTGCTAATGCTGACTACACTATAGCATGTAGGTTTCCAGTCTAAAAAGTGAACTAAAAGGACAAAAAATAATTTTGTAAATGCAGATGTTTGTTTTTTTTACAAAATTTTACAGATGTAATTTGCTTAATATTTCACTGTGTATGATGTACTGTATCACGTCCACAATACGCAATTCAGTTCATTTCATAATGAAAATCTAATAATGAGGTATTGTTTAGTTATTTATTTGTTTGTTTGTTAAAACCCTTATTACATAAGTGAATGCACTGGGTATGGTTCAGATTTTTGGAAATATTTGATAGTAATTCTAAATGATTCTTACATGAATCGCAGCAAGTTTCTAATAAGAAAATACAGATGGTTCAGCTCATTCTGCTCATGGGGATACCAGTAGCTTATTCATTCCTGTGAATTCATTTTGAAGTGGATCTGCACAGAAAACATCTATAGATATGTTAGGCATCTATAGATAGGTGTTATGACATGTATGGACAATTTATTCTAGACACAGCTCTTCATGCAAAAACATGCCGCCCAGTTTTCAGCGCTAAATGCACATCTTGGCTCCACAAATGTCCTCAGGACCTTGTTCCATTATTGGTCTTGAAGTAGTTCTCTGGGTTAAGTGTCAAAACCTTCCAAGATTTTAAATACTTCTGTCAAGTGTCCTCTGAGGATATTCAGTTTCTTTTACCCATCTGTATGCCTTTAAGGTCAGGACTTTACCTTGTTGCCCTTCTTTGTCATGATTCCAACAGCAATGCTTTTTACTTATCTGTTGACCAGAATTGTCCACAATTTGTAAACTTGTACTCTTTGTGGTGTCTTACCATTGTATCTTATACTTTAATAAATCCTCAAATTAGTTAAAAGGTAAAGGTCCATACCAGAGCTGCAGTAGCTAATTGAGGCAGAGGTTATCCTTCTTACTGTAGCGTTAAGCAAACTAGAAAACGCTCCTGTGAGTTAAATGTGACCATTTTCACTATATATCCTAACAGCCTGTTGACCTCTCTCACTGTTTTTCCACACAGTTTGATGGCATTTATAGCTTTATGTTTTATGTTTTTTTCAAAACCAGTGAAAAACATCTAGCAATGAAATGTTAGAAAATAATAGTTAGCATGTAAATGTAATAGCATTTTTAAAATGACTGAAGCCAAAGACTGATGCCTCTTCTATTTTCTCCACAACTCTATACCATATATTTTTTTAAATGTGTGCTAGTTTTCTTGTATGTGGAAGATTTACCACATATAATAGAAATATTTTTTGCTAATAAAATCAGAAATAGCTTGCACTTTGGGTGAATTATAATCACTCAATTAATCAATTAATCAGAAGAGGCTTAGGAAACTAAACATGTAAGACAAATTCTATAGTATTTGCCATATAGTGCAATCTCACAGCCCTTAAAACCTCAGAAGTTCATTTCTGAGTACCATGCTAGGAGTATAGCATTGTTAAACTTGGTTTAAAAATGTCCTAAATGCCATATTTATTAACTTATCTCGTGTAGTACAATATTCGACTAGTATTCTCTTAAACATTTGACATGGACATTTTTTTTGTCATTGCTAACAACGAATTCATTCAAAAATAATAAAAGCAATGTACTTGGATGAAATAAAATTACTTACGGTGAAAGTCTGCAGCCCGAAGTATAGACATAATGGCCCGTATAGCGAATGTCACATCTTACAATATTGTTTGTATAATCAGACTCTGGAACCTGATAGCTTGGATTCACGCTGACCTACAATCGATAAAGAAACATTAACCACAGTTCCAATTACAGCTGTTAATATTTATACTGCAGTATCATATTTATCATGTCCTGAAATCCTGTTGTAAGCATTTAAAAATTACATGTATATATTTATTTTAATATATTTAGTTATTTGGAATTTTTATGCAAGTGTGACAAACCTTGAGAATGTAGTTTCCAGGCTTTACATCAGTAATGTCAATCCATTGACAGTCAATATCAGCATTGTATGTATCATAACATCCTGGACTCAGGCCCTACATGTTAAAAAAATATATATATATATTAGAACAAAACTATTAAACCAAGCTTCTTTATAATCAAATGTTGTGTATGTTAAATAAATGCTGTACACAAATGTTAAAATTAGACAGAAGATTTGAGAGATTTTTTAACCTTTATGTGGTGAATAACCTTGAGTCATTGTTACTGATGAGGAATTTAATTACACAATAAATTTAGAGTATCTAATTAAAAAATAGCTGAAATTATGATGTGGAAACAAGAGGCAATCTAAGCATGACTAAACAGGAATCTTAACCTTCAACTAAATTAAGTAATGGATGTCAATTACGGTCAGTTATAATAAAGAACTATTAAGCACAATTTTAAAAATTTAAATTAAAAAGTATACCGCAATTTTCCAATATTGATTTGATCTAAATGATTTTATGTGGTTTATGAATTACTGTATCATATGTGGTGGCCTCAAGGGTCTTAACATTAAGTATTTTTTTTATTTACTGTATGGTTAAACACATAAAGATACCACTACAAGCATGTATACTATGCATCATGTCAGATTTTAAAAGTTTGATAGTGTAGATAGTGTAGTGTTAAGGAAATCCAAGCAAAAGGAAAAGAGAGCAATATTATAAAGTTGTTGGGTTCATACCTGGGTGTGTGATGTACAAGCATAGCGTCTATAATAGCCGTAGTCACAAGAGCTGTCCTCAAGGCAAAAACTGGCTTTGTGACCTTCAGCTACTCTTCGCTGTGAATTGGCCTCCAACAAGTCATAGTGGCTGAATTCATCCATGCTGTGATAATGTCTGTGAAGTGAAAAAAATTTTTGTGGATACTTGAATATATACATACATATTCTTGTTGGTGTGTCTAGTGAAACAGGGCTGTTAAAATATACTGTTATGTTTTAATACAGGCAGAGAAGCATTTGTGTGGTTGGTGATAAATGCCTGATTTTAATGGAAATCTAAAGAAGGTGGATTCTGAGGAGCTGATCCATTACTTAATTAACAACTTGATAGCTTCCCTTTTTTGAGTTTTTAAGGAAAACTTAAGTTTACTGGTCCAAATCAAGTAATGTGATGTATACAGTACACCTTTTCACCATAGTTAAGGAATCCTAGTTCCACTTTATAGCAAAACTTTGCAATTTGTTATCCAGATACCTTCTATGTGACAGGGGTATCTTGTTCTGAGGGGTAGTTTGATTTTTTTTTCTGGTTTTCAAGATTCTCACTGCAACTAAAGCTTTACTTTAAAAACGCTTTGTAATATACAAAGAAAGTCCAAAACAATTGGTTTCCTGTTCCTGGATTGGCACAGTGTCTGCTGTTGTTGTTCCAGCTGTGTTATCAGTAATTTAAATGGAACCTTAACTGAACTAATTTCCTCAACAAGTCCAAGTTATTAGTATTTATTTTCATATTTTAAATGGAACATAAAGGTTTGCAGATCTGCAGGACCCTGGTTGGAGTATTCTGTTTTGAAATTACTCAGCTATTCAAACCCTTCGATCCAAGAGGATGTCTCAGGAGATATATCACTTAGTGCTTTCAGGGTAACTTCAGGCTACATCAGACATTTCACAAGTAGTCTTAAACTTCCAGTGTTTTCAGAACTGAACACTAAACAAAAAGGTCAAATCATGCAAATGATTAATTTAGTTAATGGTTCAGTTAAACAACTGAGAGGTCAGAAGGAACATGCCAGCAAGTGCAGGAAACTCTAGGACAAGGACAGCACTATTCAAATCACAGCCAGCATCATGGTACGTGTCCAGAAGTACTGTAAGATCTATAATTTTGGAAGTGTTGCTCTTATCACATACCCTAGCCTGTGTGATGATCTCTTTTTTTTAATATCCACCTACAATTAGGGTGTTCAAGAAAATTAGTCGCTATGAATTATGGGAGACAGGATAGTTATTTGCTATGACTCTTTAACAGTTGTAGACTTTTAAATGCTTCATTTGAATTCTACATTCTGTCAAAGAAAGCAACCACAGACAGGTGGACCATTCTCCATTATTATGACCTGAAGTGCATTTCACAATAAGGGTTAATTGTTTTCTGTGGCTGCTTGACTTGATTACATATATGGAAAAGAGAATTAAAAGTCTTTTTAGACTGCTCTGTTTCAGATATTGTGAAATAACCAAATCATTTGTTTTGCACGTCTTCCATATTTCAGTGTGAATCTATCTAAAGTTTAATGAAGTAACAAAAAAAAACTAGGCTAAGAAAATGTATTTCCTCTTAATGGCTTTATTTCAGTAACTAATGTTAGAATTTGGCCTGGATAGGAAAAAGTTTTGTATCTTGATTACGTAAGATGCTAAACATTAAAGAATTCTCTAAAAGGTCCATTTGCTGGTCTTGAGAATGAATGGCCCAAGAGACCTACAGTTAATCACTCATTGCTTCATGATACCTCTTGCCTTATGATTATTTTTTAAAAGGTAAAATTAATTAAAGTTTAATTGTAATCATTATCATTTAGGGGAAAGGGAGGTTTGAAAGGCAAAAGAAGCTCAGGGACATGCAAGGCTGTCTTTATATTTTGTTAATTTTATTTAAGTCCTATTGATTCCTTAAAAGAGGAAAACAGCAGACATAAAACCTCTTCCTGCATATTTTTCAATAAATAGGGCATCTCAGACTGGCACTCCAGTCCTCTTTTGCTGTTAGACAGAGCCCTACCATGTATTAAAAATAACTGATTAAGAATATATAGTGCATTATTATACATGTTCCTGGTATCATACAATTGCACAATTCCAACCACACTACTCATCTTAACACTTACCTAGTCAGCAGGTGTGAGGTAAAGTTAAGAAGAAGTATTACAATTAAGAGGTATCAAACAATTACTGTTCTCTTTTTCTCTTTCCTATAGTGGTATTGGTTGATATTGTGTCCTTTCTTAGAGTCTGTTGCCCTTTTCCTCTTCCTGTTAGTTCCCATTAGTTCTGCAGCCTAATATGTTTTTTAATACATTTTAGAACTAAAGGAAAGTACTCTGGAGCCCAGGTGTTCTCATGTGTGTTTGTCCAAATTGTAAAAAGATCTGTTCATCCCTGGCAGGCCTTAACAGCTACCATTGTAGCTGACCCACAGAAACCAGTAACCAACACTTCAATTCATTTCCTAAGGCAGAACATCATTGGCATGATGAGGGATTGCCATGATTTGGCTCTACACCACCAACCTCAAGGACTCTTTCTGGAAACAAAAATAATTTGAAGGTGGGGCCCTAGACTGAAGTGCATATTCTATGACAGTACATGCAGTTGCTTTCGAGCTGAAATGCTTATTCCTTACTCCTGGAGCTGGGAGTCTAAGGTATGTGGCTTGCTTCATAGCATAGCAATGTTGTTATGCAAGTTCCTGCTAGGGCAATGTATCACATATGTGTCAGATAAGCATCTTACTAAACAAATTGTGCTATCCAGTATTGTGGATAAGATATTCAGGCCAGTATGATCATCTTGGTATGGTTCTTGGTTTTTTTGCATGAAATACTGATGTGTCATTAAAAATACAGTTTCACTGGTTGGGACCGCACTTTGCTAAGTAAAAAAAATGGTTAAATCAGCTATTCTAATCGGGTTTTGCATTACATTTGGCGGGGGAAATTGCCAAAGAAAGTAATGCACTATCTTGAAACTGGTGAAGTCACATCAGAAGCCCAGATATATTAAACTCACTGGTGACAGCTGTGCCATTCCCACGAGTAGCGCGGTCTACTTGGCAGGAAGTCCGATGTCCCTTGGTTCTTCACTCGCTGAGGAAACCTCAGTAGCATTCGCGTATCATAATCTCTCACTTCAGATCGGTAGGCTGAGCTGTTGATATAGTGTACAGAACACTTTTTTAATTGACACTTCAGTGTATTGTGTTATTAGTTTACAAATCGATTTATAAAGGTGAATTGAGAGTCATAGTTTTGTTCCATTGTGTTGTTGTTTTGTCTAAAAAGCTTATAACATTAATAAATTGTAAATGTAATTGTAAATTTTGTAAATAGTAAAAATCCATAGCTTACATAAATTAGTTTTAATTTACAAATATTTCAATTTACATCAACGTGTGCTATTGAATATACTTTATAGCAATTATGAAGTTAGGTAAAATTAAGCATTTATACATGTAAAACTGAAACAAAAATGATAAATAATGCTTTCTCAGTACTTGTGTGCACATTAGAGAAGTAAGATATATTAAATTACACAAATTCACTTCATTCGCTAATTTGGGGAGGTTACCATGATCCCTCATGGTGTGGCAACATTTGACTTTTTGACATTTACAAAAGACAAATGAAAAAGAAAGTTGCTGCCTTCCACAAATACCAGATTTTTTATTAAAAGTGACTATTTAACAAGAACCCCCTAATACTCAAGGTGTTGAAAACAAAGTATTACTAGCTTTCATGATGAGAAAAGGAAAAATGATGCAATCACAGAAAGTCGGTGTTATCCCAAATTGCGCTCCCTGCCGATTGTACCTTGCCAAGCAGTTTTCCTCTGCGGCACATCTTAGGTTGTACATAGCCATTCTCTGTACATATGTGGAAGCTTGTATATAATAGGGATCTGGCACCAAATCGGGAAGACCTGCGGATTAGATACTTAGTTTACGACTGGAATCTAACTAAAATATTAGAATGATTAGAACTTTAAAGTATACACATTAAGTCAATTACTAAATATTCTAAACATTCTGTAATACAAAGCGTTACATTTTAAGCATTTGCGGAGTACAATACTTCAGAGTAAGAGCAAAACTTACCGTACTGGAAGTACCTTGTACCGTACCCTGGCCTTTGTCCACCATTTGGTCTTTGTCTTTCGTAGGTGTCGTAGTAATTATAATACGGATTGTCATCAGTGGATTTATAAGGATTGTAGGGATCATCCCCCACCATCCCATCCTCGGGTCTCAGATTGCTTAGTGGAGGAGGATTTTGTCCGGTTCGATTTTCGTTTCTTGTACCGGACGTGGTCTCTGCTGTGGACTGTCTGGCACCTGCAGAATTGGGACCGGGTCTTGCTTGTCTCTCCTGTGTTGCGGAGGATGCCCCAGTTGGTCTCCCACGCCTGTTAACACCCGCCTGAAACCAATATCCAGAGCGGGGACCCGCACCTGGTCGGCTTTGTGCAGCAGTTGTAGACTGAGAATTTTGCTGAACGCTTGCGGGTCTTGAATTCTGTACCTCCGTCGTCTGGTTGTTACTGATGATTATGATATGTTTCGGTTCTTCTGGCTTAGTATTGTGATCCCTTCGCCTTGGCGGCTGGTATTCGGCTCCATGACTTAGTAAACTGAAAACTCTCCCGTTATTTTCCCATTGTATTTTCTGTCTAAAAAGACCTGCAGGTGGAGGGTTCCCTGGTCTTGTGTTCTGCTGCTGTTGGCATTCAACTATGTGTAAAACGCAACTCAAGTAAAATAAGGGGATGCATAAATAAATTACAGCGTCAAAGCCACGTGTTTTCATTTTGTATGAAAAAAATACTGATAAGTTTCCTGATTAAAATCAAATATATATCCCTGTTGTAAATGAAAACTAAACAATAATCTGCATTATCTGCAACGTTGATGAGCAAAGAAAAACTTCAGTGCTATAGAAGAAACAAAGCTATTAACAGTCCTTACAGGCAACTGCATTGGTAGACAATGCTATGAAGAGGGGGAAAAAGAGGGGAAAAAAAGACAGTTGTCCAAGCGATCTCCTCTTCTCGCCTGCTGGTGTCTGGAGTGAAGGCAGGAGGAGGGATTGGATTTTTAAAGTTTCTGGCACCGCTGCAAAGTTACACAAGCCTCTCTGGCAGGCTGGGTCTGTTGTTTGTTCACGTAATGGACTGGAAACGTGAGGTCTGACAGATATTCACTTTGACTATGTAAAGCAATTCGACCCAGGTCAGCTTCTTTTCCGCATCTTAGAAATAATACTGCTTTAGACAGACTCTTTCATCAAGTCATGAAAGTCCCTTAATGCTGGATTTTAACAGTAGGTTTATTTGAGAGAACAATATTGGGCTTTGTATATAATTGCATGTTATCAAACTTCTACTTACAGTATGTGTCCATTTTATATTATCATATTATATCTATTATCATATACTATGTTTGATGCAGGTGGTGTGATTTCCTTTTCAGCACAATATCTGCAAAATGCATTCTGTGTAAAATTTACATGCCAAATGCAAAATATATTTTATAAGGAATTGGTTCAGTTTATTTCGTCCTGAGAAATGTTCCATTAAAATTGGTTTACAGTAAAACATCATCTCTTACAATAAAACCAACAAGTGATACAGAGAAACACGGAGATAGGGTTACTGTAGTTCCAATTTCCCCATTTCATGTTACTAAATACTTTGGTCAAATTTTGGTTATTTTCAAAAGATGGCAAAATCATTTTTTTTTTCAATATGATATAAGAGGAAATGTTAAAGACAGTCTGGATATCTTTTCTTCTGTGATATTTTTACCTAGCCCATTTTTAAAGAAGTAACTTACTTTTACTCTAACATAAAATAAGTGGATTGGATGTTCCTTAATGGAAGAGACACCTCTAAAATCTAAAGCAGATATATTCTTATGAAACTCAGATCTGCACATTATTTTCTGTTTTCATTTTGTTGTAGCTTAATTTCCTACAATTTACACGAGCTGTTTATGTCTAACTGAAATCGGAAACAGTAAAACATCGGTTTTAACTTTTCCTAATTATGCTCTGTGAAAATATGCTTCCGAAATAGTACCTTCTTCTATACGTAGAGGCTGTTTTTTTAAAAAAAAACTTAAATATCCTCCTTAGCCTGCCTTCTCTTTCTCCTGACTATATGAGACTATTTAGGTAACTTGAAGCAAAATGACAAGGTGTTCTGCAAATGTAGAATTAAATTATGGATTAAGAATAAGAATGGTACTTGTTGTCACTTCTAAACAAAAAATATCTACCCATTTTCTAACTGCTGCCTCCAGTTCAGGGACACAGTGAGCGCAATGTGGGAAATTGCAAAGAAAGCACAGACAAACATGCTCACACTCCTAGTCATACCAGGGCCAATTTTCCTTGAAGCTAATTGACCTACAGTACTAATATGTTTGATGGATTTAAGACAGAAACCGTAGCACCCATGGCAAACCCAAACCAGCATGGAGATAAAAAAAAAGAACTTTTAAAGCCCAAGTGTTGCAAGACAGCAATGCTAACGATTGTTTGAAACTATTTAATATTATATTAGTCATATTTAAATATGAAAGGTTTTTAACTCAAAATGTCTTCAAAATATACTGACATCAAAAGGAATGTACTGTATCACAGCAGCAAGAACCTCACGCCAGTTATCAGGAAAATGGCTGCAGAAAGTTCGCATACATTTGAACAGATATGACTTAGGTGTTGTAATTTAGCTTATTGTAAGTGGTTACTAAATGATGATGATGATGGGATCTACGTTGAACTAACTAAGAGTGATTTGCACAAGAACCAGTAAGATCAGTAATATAGAATCAGGTATAGAGTTCACCTTAGAATATTGTGTACAATTGTGATCACCACACTACAAAAAAGATATCAGTTCTGGAGTTAGTCCATACAAAAGAAACTGAACACATGCCTGAGCTTAAAGCAATGTCCCGGTAAGGGTCAGAGTGGTAACAGGCTGAACCGAGTAGACCAGACTCCTTCTGAGGAGTTCCCAGCAGTTTCCAGACCAGCTAAGAGATATAATCCCTCCAGTGTGTCCTGGGTCTGCAAGAGTCTCTTCCTAGTGGGCCGTACATAGTACACCTCATCTGGGGAGACAGCGAGGGGGCATCCTCACCAGATGCTCGAGCCTCCTCACCCAGCTCCTCTTGATCTGGAGCAGCCGTGATTTCTACTCCATGGTCCTCCCAGACTGCCGAGCTCCTCACCCTGTCATGGAGAGTAAGCTCAGCAGCCTCATGGAGAAACCCTATTTTCCCCACTTGTACCAATCATCTCATAAAGTTGACCTATCTTTTCTAAATCAATTTGGAATGATTTAGTCAGCATGCGTAGGAGAAGAAAGAAAACAATGTTTCGGCTGTGGAGCCTTCTTCGGGTGTCAGCTTCTTCACAGCCAAAATGTGTTTTCTTTCTTCTCACTTGCAGCATGCAATAAACCTTTACTTGTTCCAATACATTTTAATTTTTGGAATATGCAAACAATATTTAACCCACTTCATGTTAGATATACTGGTGGATAAAAGAAATGCAACACCTCCTCCTCCACACTCTGGCCCTCCCGTCTGCGTGGAACAGGCTGAAGAGGGACTCATCTGTGAAGAGGACCTGATGCCACTGCTGACGAGTCCATCACAGCCTCTGTCTGGCCCAAGCCAGTCGGGTGTGACGTCTAGGAGGTGTGAGCAGAGGGCCTCTGACAGGTCACCTTGCTCTAAGGCCAGCAGCATGGAGCCTCACTGTCCTGTCACTGATGTGGGCATTGTGTCTGCTGGCAGTTTCAGCAGCAGTACGGGAGGCAGATCTGAAATGATCTCTCAGATGGACCAGTCTGATGTGTCGGTCCTGCTCTGGTGTGGTCACTCGAGGGCGACTGGATCTTGGATGGTCATCTGTCCTGCTGGTCTGCTGAAACCTTCTCTGCAGTCAGGATACAGTGGAGAGGCTTACTCCATAGTGTCTGACAATGCTCTCCCTTGCTTCTAGTGACATTCACGGCATTATGGATTGCACAGAAAACTGACTTAGTGTGGCCTTTGAATTAAGGCCCTTTTTAAGGTGACCTGATCAGGCAATGTTCCACCTGGACATCGTTGTGTAAAAGTGCACCTAACGAGCTTTCGTGTGATTGACAAGTTGCAATGCCTCAATGCACAAGCTGTATTGCTGGCCAGAGGGCTTAATACAAATTGAATACTTTTTGTGAAAGTACATAAGCTATATGTAACTATAGTAATCTCATTCCAGAAAATGTTGTGTTACTTTTTTCCATCAGTATACTGTATATATGATTAGCAAACTGAGAAGGTTAAGGTCTTTATACTAACCATGCACCCATTATCAGATAGCTGGTAAGACTTGTAGAAATGAAGAACCCATCTATACATTAATATTTCAGTGAAAAGGCAAAAAGAACAAAGTGTTGTAGCGTACTGTTGCTAGACAACAATGAACACAATAAGTAAGACAAGGTAAGGGAAAGTGACCTCTATAAACTGTTGGAAAAAATATATTTATTTTAAGGGAGTTTCCTTCCCACTGTCAGAAAAGAAAATTATATGCTGTAAAATCTCTTGAGATGATTTTGGTTTGTTGTGTCTGTTCTTGTCTTGTGGGGAGCTGAAAAAAGTACTGAGGAAAAGTAAATAAATTTGGATGTATATTGGAGGATTGTTTTTCCAAATTTCATCCAAAGGTAACATGGTTTTAATGTTAATGATGAATAAAAAGGGGTATAGGGCCCCTTCTCAAAGAATTAAGGGCATTGGTGAGTTTAGTGTGTAAATATTGACATTTAATCTTTTACTTTTTAGTGGTTCTAAAGGTAGTGTTTCATATACAGTATAGAGTTTTAACTTTAAAGTAATTTCAGTATTTTTGCAAAATATATTTTAAAGCTTCAAAGGCAATTCTGGCATGTTTTCAGCTTACCCATCAACATTTTTACAAGTTTGAAGAAGTAACCAAAACCTAAAAATACAACTCCAAGAAAGATTCCTACAGTCCATTATAAACTCCACATTCTTAAGGATGCAGGCTGTTGCTACTTACCTTCTCTAGTGGGAGAGCCTACAGGTAAAAATACCTGTGTCATTGCAATTTTAATGAGACAGAGATGATTGGAGAATGGTCAGTTGTCCTGCAAGGCCTGGTGGTATCATTCCAAATTTTGTTCGAATTGATAGGTAACCTTTTTATCTTAATGAGTGGTGTAATGGTGGTGTTGGTGTTTTGTAATTTACAGTAGGTGACTTGTGTTTTTTTAGGACATGAGGAATCAGGTTTACTGCAAGGCCCAAATGACATCATTGTCTTCAAACATTAATAGAATAGATAGAATGTGGACTATTTCAAAGAGACTAAGAAAGAATGAGAAAAAAGGTTGCCACCCTTTGCTAGAAAATCTAATCCATAACCATTACAGAAAATGAGAAGACAAAAACTATCATTACACTGTCCTTTCAGTTTGTAAAGACTGGATATAAGGGCCAACGATCACATGGATAAGATGTCAAATTAAACCAAAGTATATATCTATAGAGCTGGAATATATTCCAAAAAGGGCAACTGTTTAAATCAAAAATCTTTTTTTTTTTACCATTTTCCAGTAGGTCTTTGTTTGTTAACTAAAAACGTATCTAGCGGTCCTTGTATTTTTTGATTATTAATTAACTGAAGTCTATCAAGCCTTAATCAAGTAAGAAACATAAGAATTACATAATAGTTAAGAGTTACAAATAAGAAACATACGTTTACAAAAGAGAGAAGGCCTTTCTAGATTCATCCTCTCTAGACCGTTTGGTAGTTAGCAGCCATTTGAATGGAGAATCTAACAAGTTAGATTATCTTACCAGTTCTTGAAATAATCAAGGGAACTGGTTTCATCAGTATGGATGGGGAGCTTGTTCCATGCTCTAGCAGTCCCTTCCTAAAAAAAACTGTTTCCTGTTCTTGGGTTTTAAATACAATTATTTATAAACCAAAATCCACTCTCAAGGACACAGGATTCCAGTGCTCCAGTCTAAGAAAACATGATCTACAATATGAAGCACTTCAAGGTGATGGACCATTGTCACCATTGCCAGGCGGTTCTGAATTTTGTGAATGCACTATCTTCATCAGGTTCTGGGAACATATGTTACTGTAACAGTCAGTGGGCTACCAGCAAATGTTATTGTAAGATAATACATTACAGTTCTAGGAAAGTCCAGCTGTTTCCTAGATTGTTTCTGGGAATTTGTTATTACACAGATCTGAAAGAATGTAAAGATCCTAGATTGCTCCAACCAACCCAAATGTGCTGGAAACTGCTATTGAATTAAAAAAAACAATAAGTAAAATGCATAATAATTAATATTAATAATGTATTGTTTTTAAAAATGTTCCTGGTTTCAGTTTCTTTTATTTTTATAGTTTTAGTTAATGCTTTTAAAATACAGCATGTAACATTTAAGGTAAGTGAGCACAAATGTCATTATAGTGATTTCGTTTCCCACAGGCCTTTGTCAGGCCTTTCCAGTAAATTTCCAGCCACTCGCACAAATCATTGTCCTATAACCTTCGATAGGATATAATTTTTAAAATAAGCAAAATTACGTAATATTTACTCAGCGTTTAAAGCAAATGCTGACAATATTTTTGTCTGCCTGCTTCAGGAAGCAGCCAATCAGATTTTTAAAATACTACACTTTTTCGCGTCACTTGTTGACAGTTGCTAAGCGACTATTGAGGACATTGAATGTTGTAGTGCTGCTCTGACACTTACTGTAGCTGTGTAATTAGTAAAGTAGAATCTTTTTTTATTATTCCCACTAGTTCTCACGAAAACTAAAAAAAAAGGTAAGCACAGCATTGTATTTTTTCAACAGCTAGAGTATTTTACAATTTGCTTACACTAGTAAGTTACACCGTGTTTGAAAATATAAGGCTTGCTAACCGATAAGTACAGTTTTACATACGAAGCTAATGTTTACGTCCAGCTACAGTGATAAAATATTTATTAAGGTTATTTTACTGCAATATGTGAAACAATTGATAGTATTTTAAGTCGCTTGAAAGTGGGCGGATTCCGTTTTGCATTTGTTTGATATTAAAGTGACTTGATTTAGGAGCTTGTTCTCATTACATTGCTCAAAGCAATCAGTATCGCACATCTTAAATAATGTGATGGGAGTTTTGTTCCTTGTAGGAACTATTTAGTAACATTTAGTAACATTACAGCGATACGTGTAGGATATTTGGGACTCAGGGGGCAGAGTTTAAACGGAATCGAGGGTGTCTGGGGAAAAAATAGCCAGCCAAGTTGTTGGAGCTGACACTATTGTCGGATCTTTCAAAAGTTGGTAGAAACAGACTTTTGGCATCAGAAACCCACCAGCAAACAACCCAAGTGAAATGGATCGACTTCCTCTTGTTTTCTTTCGTCAGAAATACCTTTCTGGCGTTTTTTTTGTTTTGTTTTATAGACTACAAAATACCGTATATATTTTCTTAAGAAATGAAAACAAACTCTTCCACATCCAAAGGTTACCATTTGTTTTTTATCTAGGGTACTGTTTATACAGAGCCAGAGAGTCAGGACAGCATGAAGGGCTGGTGGTACAGGTGGTAAATGTGACGACTTGATACGGTTATGAGTTGATAGCCAGATTGGGTTTTTCATTTCATGTCTATCTTTGACATCAAAGACGTTTTGCCAGTAATCAGTAGACCACAGTAGTTTGAACTGAGTATTTGGCATGGATTTTTAGGTAGTCACAGATGCTTGCTTGCTTGCTTGCTAGGAGACATGCTGCATCTCTTATGCCCCCTAATGGTACATAGTCTATTTACAGCGAATGCCTTTTAATTATACACAATATAAATAAATTAATTTGTCCTCTGTATGCTTTCATATATAATTTCATATAAATAGCAGTTGAAATGTTATTTAAAAAACATTTAAATTAAATATACATGGAAATAAAATTATGAGATTTATACACATTCTGTGGATATTGGTTTGAAATTGTAGGTAAGTGTGAATGATTTTATTGCAGAATGAATGACGTTTTTTATTGTTAAAAACGAAAACCAATGTTTATCTTCGAAAGGCTGCAACAAATCTTCAAATGCTATCTACAGTACAGAATGCGTGTACTAATGGTGTATAAAAACTGTATAATTTGCTCAACTAAGAGTTTGAAAACAACATTAACATACTGTACAAGAGGAAGAACTTCTAGAATGTTCTTCTAGAAAATGCAATTGTAAATAATTGTATTTTCAGTTTTTCCACATTTTAAATTAATTTATGTTCACAAATTGATTTTGAATAGTTTTCAATTTTTTAAAGTTTATACGTTTGTTTTTTGGTGTGAATATGATCTAATCAACTGTTTACTTTAAGGTAATTCCTGCATTTTTCCTTGAATTCCACGCAGAGTTTTCCAGTCTAGGAAACAAACAATTACAGTGGAGTCTTTGGTCCTTCCATTTCTTAATTCTACATTTAATGCCAAAGTCAAAACTCCGAACAATCTTTGTAAGAAGAATTCATCAGACAAATGCATATCATTTCCACGACAAATAAGACCCCAAATAATAACCCAAGAACATTTATTTCTAAATCAACGGTTTAAAGGAATTATTCAAGTTAAGGAAACTGTTTTAAATTCGCATGATCAGATTTGTGAGCTTAAAAAACATTTGTAAAAAAACAATCATCTTTAACAGGGAGCATTTTTTCATCTGGTGGAATACATTTCATGTCTCTGCCAACTAAACACTTACCAAAATTAAGTGAATGTAATTTACAGTTTGGTAATTATGAAGAAGGAGAAACATTTGTGACACAAAAGGGACTTAAAAGACCCACTACTGCTGTGTTATTAAGAAAATTGGGCCATTCTGCTATGTCACAAAATAGTTTTAACCGACCAGTGATACCCCCCAAGAGACCAGGATTTAGAGTCTGCTATTTGTGTGGGAGGGAATTTGGCTCCAAATCAATTGAGATTCATGAACCTAAATGCCTAGAAAAATGGCACATTGAAAATGAAAAATTGCCCAAGAATCAAAGGCGACCAGTTCCTCAAAAACCCCAGCCCCAGTCTTCTGATGGTTCTTATGACACCGATAAAATGAATGAAGCAGCATGGCAGAGCTCACAAGCTCAACTTCTGCCTTGTGAAAACTGTGGACGCAGATTTCTGCCAGATCGGCTCCCTGTTCATCAAAAAAGCTGTAAACCCAAACCTCATAGTAGAGGGCCTTCACATTCCAAAGCTCTTGAGGCTGTGAACAGTTCTCTACAGTCCCTTCACACTGATGCCTCCCAGGACAGTTTGCCCAAAACTATTTCCAACACTTCTGTGAGAACCTCCTCAAAACCTTGCACATTAGTTTGCTACATCTGTGGGAGAGAATTTGGGACAAAATCTCTTCCTATCCATGAGCCAAAATGTCTTGAAAAATGGAAGACTGAAAACAGCGCACTACCCAAAGAACTTCGCCGACCAGTCCCTCAGAAACCGCAAGTGGTTATGATGGGAGGGGCATCGAGGGAAGAGCAAAACAAGGCTGCGTTTGAGAGCTTCAAGGCCCAGCTTGTGCCATGCGCTAACTGTAGTCGCACTTTTTCTCCTGACCGGCTCATTGTCCACCAGAGGAGCTGTAAAATAAAAACTTCCAGCCCCAGCATCAAGACAGTCTCCCTTGGGAATGGTGTCACCAGTCAGAGTAACCTGGACACTATCAAGCAACGGAACAGTGGCACGTCCTGTATTAGTCCGGTTAATAAGGTGGTTTTTTTTTGTTGTTTGTGTTTCCAAAATCAGAGTAAAGAGTACATTTTTTATTGATATTGTCAAGACACACACTGTTGAGAATCAGAAACAGGACAAAAAAACCTAATGCCAGATTTGTTTAATTTAATTT